GAGGAGAGGTGAGAACACCAAAGCACTAAAGATAAAAAGAGACCAACATGAAAAATATTCCAAAAGTAGCTCCCAAGGGTATAGTTTAGCATACTTACTCCTAAAACAAAAAACTAATAACAAAAAGATCTTCCACTTTTGTGTATTTCTTATGTGTAAAATTTTGTGAGAAAAGCTTGCATAAGTGTGTTTTATGTTTTATGTTGTGACTTAAATGTCACAACAGCATATGAGTAGATGCCATTATTGTATAAATAAAGAAACTATGGCTTATAGAAGTTATAATGAGTTAGCTCACACAGCTAGTGAGTAGAGGTCTTGGTATTTACATCTGGCTGAGTATGATTTCCAGGATCAAGCTTTATGTTATGCTTTTATTGTTTGTATTATTTACAATTTATGTGTCTGCTACAATTTTTCTAAAGTATATGTATCTAAGCAGAACATAATTTTATTTTTTAAAAAGGAGTTGGAGAGGCCGAAGATTTAGCTCAGTGGTTCGGTGGCCTGCCTTGCAAGCACAAGGGCCCTAGTTCAATCCCCGGTACCATAAAAAAAAAAAAAAAAAAGCTATTAAAAAGGAGTTGGAGTTGGAGTTGAGTAGAGTTAACAAGAAAGGCTTTGTAGAGGGACAGGATTTATGGTAAGAATATTAATAATACTTCTGTATGATCAAGACCTTGTAATAAAATGACAAGATGTGATCCTTCTGCCTGCAGTTCTGTATATCATCTTTCTCACGCTTGAGACTTCTTCCCATGATTTCCCAAACTTGCATGGCTGACAGATTCTCCCATGTTTTCCTCTGTGTACTCAATAAGTGTTCAATTGTCCAAGGGCACAGGAGTCCACCATAACTTCACTCACCACCACTCCCCACTAAAGCTTCCCAGAACTCTTTATTCCAGTGTCAGTGAAAATTAGAAAGAAGTTTTATTTCCACGATTAAAGGCATTCACACCCATCTATAGCTTCAATTTCCTCCTATACTCATTGATTCTATAATGACTTTGACAATTTTTCATGTAATTTAGGAGATGCTGCCAATTTTAAATGCAAGATACCATAGATTCTAGTACACACCCACATTTCATTTCCTTTAATACATGGCCAAATATGAGGTTTAGAATTGATAACATTCTGTCTCAGTGGTCATTAATGTAAGGGAGAAGAGGACACCAGTTAACTCTATTCTCTCTCTTCTCTCTCTCTGCCTCTCCTCACAATAGTCTGTATAAGGGACTTTTCTAAGGACACGAGGTCTCACAGTATGTAAGCTCGATGAAAGTGAATTCCCACTACAGAATAAATAAAAAATAATTATAACTCAGGAGAATAACATAGAATCCATGCTTTACTGAATCTTTATCAATTAGTGAACACAGTAGGCACTCAGTTAACATTTACTGAATAGACTTAAACTGAAGAGAAAATTCCCATCATTTATTGCAGGCCAATTTCTTTTATGGAAGATCCTGCGTAGCGTTTGAAGAGAATGCAACCCCATCTTGTGGCAAGGAAAACAAATTCCCTTGAATTCACAGTTAAATTGCATTCCTCCTTCCAACTCCATCCTTCACACAGGCCTAGGCCGTCTAATGAAAGCAGCCCAAGCAAACCCATTTATCATGCAGAGAGGCTGATGCACCAGAGTCCAATAAATATTAGTGCTGAGACTTCAAACAATCCATGATAATGGGAAAAATTATATGAAACCTGTAACAATGAGATTACTTTGAGAATGATTCAGAGCCAGCTCAATCGAACATTTTCACTGTTATCTAGCAATCTCATACACCTTTTAAGCATACTAATATGTAAATTCCTAACTAATGATGGTGAGCCACATTTTCTTCTCAATAGGATTCTGAGGATATTATCTGATTGTGTGCTTTGCCTCCTCACTTCTCTCCCTAAGAGTATTGATCCAAGAAGACTAGACAGATCAAAGAAGGAAAAAAATTAATATATGACAGCTCTAATTGAGGATTTATATATTCTTTCTATTTCCCTGATTCTAAGAGGCTTTTTAAAAAAATAACACATCGTGTTTTATCACAGCAGTTTTCCCAAATACTTGAATTGTAATAATAGCTCCTTGACAACTTGATTAGGGAATGTGTCCTGTGTTATAAAAAAAAGTGCCTGTGCTTAATACCTGATACTGTAGTGTTGAGCTGGAAGTAGCTTATAATGGCTAGTGAGAAACTCATGGACCTCTCTTTCCAAATATGTTCAGTAGCTTTAGGCTGTCAGCCTGAAATCAGTCATGATGGGAGTATTTGTGCCACAAAATTGGTAAACCTTACCAAATGAGACTTCTTTTTCTGGAAAATTTGTACACATTTATAGAATTGTATACATTTAGAGGAAAGGTACACAGAGTGCCTTTTCCAAGACATTCTAAAAGTCGATCATGTTTAGTATGAAGATCACCTCTTTAGAGTCACAAAGAAAAAGACTGACCTACTCCCAAGCTACCTTCTGGCCTGGGTGCCGAAGCTCTAGATGGACTTGTGTGTTTCTTTCACCTTTAAAGTCCCTTAGGTACCACACCAATGAACTGGCAGTCCTAAAGCTGCAAAAAAGCCACAACCTATTCCAACCTTAATATTTCATACAAAGCTTATTACTCGTACATGGCTACTTTTAAGATGAATATGAGTTGCTTCAATTAAAAAAATGTATCAGACACAGTCTTAGATATTACATGGTTTCTCTTACATGAGAAACTCAAATTATAAATAAACAGCAAACAAAAGATAGACAATAAGAAGTAGGAAGATAGATCTTTCTCAAATGGAAAGGGGAGCAAGAGATGGAGGGAGGTAAAAGGGAGAGGAGGGAAAGAGTGTGAAAAAAAGAATTAAAACGTGTTACGTACGTGCACCAACTCTACACAACGAATGTAAACTTTATGTACTGAAAACATTTACTAATTAAAAAAGCACTGCAGAAGTTGAAGAGATTTTAATTCTGAGCTTCCCGGAAGGCAAGAGATAAAGCAGAAAGCAGAAAAGTTCATATATATAATCTTCAGAAGAAGTAAACATTTCCCCAACCCTAATATTTTGCAAATAAGTCCTGAGCAGCATAACAAACTACAGCATAACTCAAACTTGTTACGATTAGGTGATTATTCATTATGTACATGTTGAAGATCTGATATAAAAAATAAAGATCCTATAACTGGTTGCTTTTATTGTTATATTCATACTTATTTTTTTAACCAAGCTAGCTTCAGACTAGTTTTGATTATACAGTGCAGCCTAAAGCCTTTTGGAAGCTTTGTTATAGAGCTGATTAAAAGGATTCAGTGGGTAAGAAGAAGGCAATTCAGGAAGAAGAAAGGAAAAGGAGACTCCACGGAGGTTCTTTCAGGGCCTCTTTCAACCATTTAGAAAAAATGAACCTGAAATATAAATGCTTTCAGTACAATCCAAACTCTCAGCTCTGCCCTTTCTCAATTTATGATGGTCAGCATACACAGCAGGGATCAGCATTTGTTTACAAAGATGGAAGGTCTCTACAGAAGAAATAAAAGAATCATTGAGTCCTATGTTTAAGAAGATAATTTTTGCATCCTCAAACTAAAGGAGTTCTTCCTACAAAGCCACCGCCAGGTCACCATCCAGGTCTTGAAGGTTTCTAGGGTCAAGAAGTAACAGTCTACATAAAGCAGTCTCTACCTCTTTGGGGTGGCTCAGACTATCAGGAGTTATGGGTTCACAATTACCTCAAATATACACTCCTGTCAGTCACGCACAGAGGATTTGCTTTTGCGCTGTGCGACACCAGTGTCGTGTTTTCCACATGACAGCTCCTGATGTGAGAAGGGAAGTCTCCTACCCCCAACTCTTAATATTTTCTCCTCTAGGTTAAACATAAATCATTTCCATCAATCACCCAAAGATTTTCAGAAAAACAATTAAAGGTGTACAATGAATCCTAGAAGAACAAAATTATGTTATTTTTACATTGTATACGATATTTACGAGGATTTGACCACCAGTGATAATTACAACTAGCTTATTTGATAAAAGATTTTTAGGACACTAGAGTGTTTAAAGTGTATCAAACTTTAGAGCCACAGTGAACATAATTAAACGTTTCTTTGCCAATGTAACAAGGGTGAGAAGCTCCCAGAGAGCATGGGAGCCACTTCTGTGGCACAGTTACAAGCAAGCACTGGTGAAATGAACATTCTGGCAAGTAACATAAAAAAACAAGTCTCTTTATCTATCCATAACTAAGGAATTAATCTCTTCCCATTCAATGCTCTACTAATATAGTCTTGACTTTATTTCTATTTTTCATTTTAAATTCTTATTAGCATTTATGCATTTTTTATTCAAAGCATAAAATCTAGTAGTACTAGTTCAGTAAAGAAATAGGCAAACAAGAAACACAGAAAAATTTTACTTTCATTTAATCATCCATTCTTTTCAAAATACCATGTTCAAGGAGCTCTTTAAAATTAAATCCAAAAGGTAGAAAGTGTTGGAAAAAGCACACCACCAAATAAAAAGAATTCTTGTAAGCGATTTTTCTCTAGGATAAAATAAAGTTGCTGATGAGCCAACTCACACATTTTTCTCTTTTGGACAGTAAAGCAGTCATTAGGTGTGATCATGATATATTTGCTTCCTATAATTTATCAGGACCAGGGATACTGATGGAGAGATAGCAGGTGAGCCAAACCATGATGTATCCTCCCCCTAAAAAAATGTAGACAGCTTATTTTCTCTTTCAATCATTCAGCCTTGGCACGTTCCTTACCCAGTCTCAGCAGTTAAATGGATTTTTCCAGACAGTCAAATAAAAATATGTTTCATAAATACCAGGTTAGTTTCCAAACTGCAGAAAGGCTCTTTGGCAAACGATGTCTGCCATCATGTTTTAAAGGAGCCTCCTTTAGTCCGGGCAGCAAACAGCTCCTTTAGCAATAAATACTGCCCAGCATCACCAACCTATGAAATAGAAAGAAAAATCTAACTGACCTTAAGAGGAGAAATGTGAGACTGTAAGACGTATCCGTGGACATTTTCTATTTGAGACAGGTTCTTTTCAGATACATGCACAAGTTCTGGACCTCTCACTTCATGAGTCAGCCGAGGTAAGGAATGATCATGTGGAGCATCCTCATCTTGATATCGATACTTCTAGGCAAAAAGGAAAAAAAGGAAAAAAGTATCAGTGTCTGCAAAGGGTGTACTCTGACTTCACATTCTAAGTCAATTATTGGGTACAGTATATATACCTACTGTTTCCTTCACCAAACAAGCTTTTCAGACACGTGTTTGACAATCAACACGAACTTGCTGAATGCAACTGAACCAACCATCAATATCAAGTGATGTTAATGATTTAATTGTATCTGATGATATGCTCTGTTTATGAGCTACATAAAAGTAATAATAAAGGAACTTATAAAAATTCTTGTGTAGAGGAGGAAGTATCCCTCCAAATGACCAGAATAGCTAAGTAAGTGCTAAAAGTCATGGTTAGAGAAGGAAAAAGTGCCAGACAAGAAAATAAAATTCAGAAATATCCTTTTCAGAAAATGTAATTTTGTTTCAGAATTTATGAAAGATTTAAGTTCACCTGGATATGAGGAAAATGCACCACCTATATTTTTATTAGTCCAAAAGGGAAGACAATTCACTCTTCCTTTATTTAATATTTTAATATTAAAATATTATGTGAGTTACTTGGATTCCTTGAAAAAAAGATCGCAATAGCTGGAAATGAAGCTAGCACTAAAGGACTTCCAACAGCATAGCAAGTGATCTGTTTCTATATAAATAATTCCTTGAGGAGAAATATTTCCTTCTCTCTTGTTTCCTTTTCTTCTTGTCTTAACTATCTTCTTTCTATATGCCCATAGCAGTAAGAGAAGCCTCTGTCAAAGACCATGGTGTAAGCCTTCCAAGCAAATCTCAGAAAGTTGGGAGAGAAGGTCAGAAGAAGAAATGGTCTAAGAGGACACATTCCTGGCCATAGGGTTAATCTTCATCATTAGTGCCGGTTGGGTATCAATGCACTGTGTCTCTCCCCAATTCTAACTCTTTTTGCTTTGGAGTGTTTCTTTAAAGTCCCATCATTTCAAGGTTGTTGGCCTATGCCACAAAGAAAACAGAACATTCTATCACTGACCCCCAATCCAGCTAATAATGTGTTCGTTTCCCTTGCTCTGCCTTTATATCATGTGCATGACACATGGTATCAGGGGCAGGGGTTCTGATATTCCTATTACCCCCACCCCAGGTTTAACAGTTATATATAATCTCTTTTCAGTGCCCTACTATTGGTAACGCCAACAGTTATTTTGCCACATCAGTTACTAAAAACATGTCTTCTTACAAACCCATGCCTATGTTTTTCACTCATTTTTGAGATAAATATACTTCCTTGAACATCAGCTTTTAGTATGATTCATAATCTGACAGTAATTAGAACCACCCCAGGGTTAGTAATTCAATTTGTTGCCCAGGCTTTAATCAGAAGCTGATAATCAGTACTTGCATTTTCAAGGGAATCTTCCTGCAATGCCCAAAGTTTTATTAATCTCAAGGCAAAAATTACAATTAACAGTGTCAAAAGCACCATTTAGAAAGAACCCTTACACACTTCTGTTGCAATCATCCTTAGCCGTGATGTACCATTTAACCTATGATGAAGCTAATACTCAGAGAAGGCCAGGTAATTGTCCAGGGTCATGTAATCATCAGAACCCAGAGGATGTGAATCTGAATCTTCCTTTTACCATCATCAGTCTCTTCACCACCTTCAGAAAGAGCCCCCTTCTGACAGCTATCGGCAGCTTGGTAGAAAAACATCATTGAGAATACACAACAAAATGAGGTTAGCCCTTTCCTGTGAACTGAATATATCATAGTTCATGTTTCCTAGCCCTGCGGATAATTGGAGAAGGTAAGCTGCCTCAGAAACAAGGGTTACCACTTCATATTCATTCTTGATCAGTTATGTTTTCAGCACGAGCAAGTAATAGGACACGCAAGCCCATATTGTTTCTCGGGCTTGCAGCCTGTCTCCCTTCACATCTGCTCCGCCTTCTCAGTTCTCCCTCAGGAAGGAGATGGTAATCACCATCAGAGAAGTAGCCGTCAGCTAGATTCTTTTCTTGTGACCATTTAACAAATTACTGAATCTGCTTGAGTACCCTAATAATTGTTCAGTCCACTTCCTCCTCATCCCCAGCCCAACTCCCCACACCATCCACTACTAACACTGCCCAAATTCAAGTTCCTGTCAACTCTTTCACTTCTGAATTCTTTTTAATCACTTTCACTTAAGCAATTGTGTACTAAATATAAATAAATCAACTTTCAGTTTTTACTTTATTATATTTTGAATTAATCATTTAAACTAAGCATTTTTAAGTGTGCAGTTTAGAAGTAATTATATTCACCTCATTATGCGACACATCTCCACAGTGTCATCCAATGGGTGTTCTCATAGTTCCCTATGGACCCCAATCATAACTCACTTGCTTTATAATTGAGTTTTCCTGTTTGTCCATATTAGTGGTATTCACCCTCCTATCTCCAGTTATTATCTAATTACCTACCACATATGATCGAGTATTTGTTAAATAAAATTATAAATCCCTTTTGAATAAATCGGCGAAATTGGCATGAGTTGCTTAAAGTACACAACTGTTTTGTCTATTAGATGCAACTTTTATAATAGACCATTATGAACCCCTAAACCATATTTTTGAAACATATTTGATGAACATCAGATTCTCATCATTCATTTCTGTATTATATGCTGAGAACATATGCTGAAAAGAACATTCTTATTCAGAGCAGATCATGTATTTTTAAGTAGATTATACACAGGCACAGTTAAGCACCTATACATAGTGACGATAACTAAAGTATATACTGTGTTCTGTTGGAGCAGAAATGGTTCAGACAAACGTTGTCTGAAGCTTCCCAGTTTGAAACAGGATCTAAAATCATATGGAAAGAAATAATGGATAGTCCAAGAAAATCACAACATATGCAGAACTCTGAGGAGGTGACACCCAATCTGATTATCAAGATCCTGAAAAGTTTTGCCAGGGAGAGTTGAGTCTGACCAGAGCTGGGGGACTAAAACAGTCTTCTAAAGCATTTAGGACTTTAGAGGGTACCTTTATCTTCCAGGTAGAATTTTTAGGAGATCTTAAAAAAATAAAATAAAATCTAAGGAGAGTGATTAAACAATTTTGCAGAGGTTACTCCCTAATTTAAGATCATCTCTTTTGTTCTGTAAAACTATGAGTCATCCATCTTCCTATCGTTAGTGTCAGTAGGTGCGTATGCCATTCCGGGCAGCTTTGAGGGTTTCTGTGTTGCCTGTGAAGGAATGGAGGACACTGGAGGAGGCCAGTGGTTTCAAATGTGTGGCTTCTCCTTTTCTCCTTAGCTGTGTCCTTTAGAAGAGACACTGCAATGAAAGAACTTTTGTAAACAGATACTTCTATTTTCAGTTCTAGTGGGAGTAGAGGCATGAAAAATGTTCAAGACAGGAAAGAATGAGGTATTATTTGTATGTCTAGGTGTCATTGTCTTCTTATTTTTAAAAAAACAAAACAAGCAAGAAAAATCTTCTGGGATTTTGTCCTCTCCTCATACCTTAAGCTTAGTCCTCTCTGCAGCCCCAGACTCAATCCAGCAAACCTTTTCAGGACCTTGATAATCAGATTGGGTGTCAGCTCCTCAGAAGCACTTTCTGATTGCTACAACTGGTGAGGTATCTCTCTAGGTGTCCCACCGTGTTCTGCACCGATTCCTGTAAGTGAATAACAACTTCTATTGCAACATCCTGCCCCTGAGCCTCTCTCCTCTAGAAGCCCATGAGTGTTTCAAGAATAGATAAGGAACTGTTTCGTCCCTGAATCTCCAGGGCCTATCTGACAAGTGACCTGGAGTTAGAGACCAGAGAATGCAAGTTTGTAACAGAATTAAGTTAAACGAGCTGTGTGATAACATGATCCACCAGATCAAACATCCCTCCAAGTACAGCCTGTATGCAATCATATCCATGTTATTTTTCTGCCATGGGCTTCACATGGAAAGACAAAGTCCAGAATTCTGAGTAGACTCTGCTGAACACATCTGCTGAAACTTTCATGAGTCAGAAGCATCTTGAGTTACCCAGAATCCCAACACAGGAGCACACGCTTGGTCCATCAGCTGAAGGTTTCTAGAACTGTGTGGAAAATGGTGCTATGCAGCAAGTGGATAATAATGGGTTAAGAAGTTGGAAATCAATTTCTCATAAATAAAAATCTGAGTTTATCTCTGTTGCTGCATAAAAAGTGCTCTACCTCCCTCTTGCAGCAGCTGTTGGCACTGGACTGATGAGAGAGGAAGAGAGAAAGGGAGAATAAGAAAGAAAAGCAGAGAGAAGGGAAGAGAAGGGAAGGGAGGGGAAAGGAGGGCAGGCGAGGGCAGGGGAAAGCAGGGAGAAGAGAAGAAAAGTCAAAAGTGGAGGGTGGGTACAACACATCTGTGTGCTCATGAGCAGTCAGTAACATTACAATCCCTACCAATGACTGAATACCATCCATGCATACTTTGCTAAAACTGTTAAAGAAATTATTCCAGTTAACATTTGCAGCAATATAAAGCAGGTACGAATTGAGGAGTGATTACCATTCCTTACACAAACCTGACACTTAGGAATTACAAAAAACTTGGTAGTGCCACTGATTCTGTTAGTTACATTGACAAATAACATCCTTTTTTGTTGAATCCTGTCTCCCTCTCTGTAATCAAAATTCACAAGGGCAGGAGCCTTGCCGTTTATCTTTGTATTTTCCAGAGTGATCGAGCCATGTGCCATAATGCATGAGTCCAATCTACCTGAGCTGATGGACTGCTACTGCTGAAAGAAAACTTCTTGGTTTTAAAAAAATGTACTTGGCAGAAAGGCAAGATATATTTCAGGAAAAGTGTGAAGTCAGTAGGAAGATGAAATATGTAAGAAATTTGCAAAGGAAGTGATGATGTCTTGGAAATATGTGAATGCAGCTCAGAATATAGAGAAAACCAAGGTTATGAAGGAAGTGGTCTAAAAAAAAATAAACTGTGGAACTGAAGGGATTTCACTTCATCAGAAAACTAAAAGTTCAACTTCCACAGTTAAG